GACATATAGCATATTAACACATATAAGGTGCATTATGCCAAATAAACTTAGTGCTTTGTGCTACATACTTTCTGATGCACTCTTTCGGTAAATCCATATGCTTTAAACGCGAATCACTTATCTTTGGATTCCTACATTCCTCCCTGCCCACCTAGCTCCAATGATTTATCAGAACAGAGCAGAACAGACAATTTATTTACATTAAGGATTTAAACACAGTTTATTATCTATAAAATTAAACATACTCTATTAAGCAATGATATAAAACAAAGTAACATGCACGAGGCTAGCAACAATTTTAAATATCAAACATCAATTAATCTTAGAATTTTTTCTTTAATTGTCTCATATTTTTAATACATTTTTGTATTCAAATGGTTCATAGATTTATAAACAGTGGTCCTTTTGTTGATGTAAATGTCCTTCATGTATATTTTCCTAATTCTGAATAAAAGCTACATATACAATGATATTCATCTTCTATATCTAAATGATTACAACATATACAATATCGTTCATTACGGGACATAGAATTTCTGCTAAATCTTTCTGTTTGGATTCCACTTATTCTTAATTTACAAAAATAGAATCTAAATCGTTTTGGTAAAATATCTTAATATTTCACATATTCAAATCTACCGTTGACATCTTTACAAAAATATAAAAAAGTAACTACTTACTACATAAGCAACCCAAACCATCATTGTTTTACAAAATCCCAAATGTGATTTTTTAAAACTCTATCAAAAATACAATCTTGGTAAAAACGTATGAAAATCAATAAGCGTTAATTATTTTTTTTTATATTTGTGACTTAATTTACACAACCACTATTGCTATAATTTAATGCAATATTATATATTGCTTTCTATAAGATACTATCAGTATCAATTCTCAGGCAGTATTCTATTATTGTCATATCTATTTACAAACAAAGGGTACCTGGCCAATTCATAATTAAATAATCATTATTGGAAAATGGCATAACCAGTGATTTGAAAATAAAAATGTATCCCGTACAATAAGTATTTTATCGTGTATACAACAATTATACAATATTTACCATAAAAGATGAGAAAAAAGATCAACAAGGCAAGGCAACGTTCACAGAACGCAGCCCCTGACACAATCCAGTTAAAATGGTAGGGCACCCATAAGCACCAAACTTAAAATTGGGAGTGGGCATACGGGTATAATTTCCTATAAAATTATTGAAACATACAATCATATCAAGACAAATAACACATAATCTTAACCACATAGAAAATTTTGAACTTAAAACGTAAGAACAAATATTGTATCAATAGTAATTATCCCTTTACGAAAGCCAAATTGAGCATCTGAAATAGTATTGCTATCCTTACAAAACGCTCAACTCTGTTATTAATAAAAGGTTAGATAAACAGCTATAAAGTGTAATACCCCCATGGTTATTAACTTTGTTCTTATTTCTCTTCTTATGTAAAGGTAATATTACATCTTCGGTCCATTGTCCAGAAAAATACCAGAATTCAGTATACAATTACTGTAACCCAATTTATATTCGCGAATACAAATTTTCGCGTATTGCCGAGGTCGGACATATTTGCGAATATTAATTTCCGCGTTTTCTTGATTACCGAAAAAAAAAATTCGCGGATTGGAAAGTCCGATGGGGCCGTAAAAGCCATTAGCCGACTATTAATCTTCAATAATTGAGGTCATTATTGAAGTCTTAAATGGGAATAACAATACGCTAGCATTATATTGTATTGGTAAGTGAATTGTGATCACAATTCAGCAAAACATTTTCTCTATATATGTACATGTACGCTTCGCTCGTTCTTCATTTCTTAAACATGTCGAGTTTAAAAGGGTGGTTGATAAAAATAACCCTCAGAATGCAGGGATTGTTTCGGCATCGTTGATTTTGCCTGATCATGATCTGGAAAGCACACCAGAAAAGAAAAAAATGATAAAAGCGGCAAACGAAGCTGTATTTGAAATTTTATCACCAAATCTCCAATCAGAGATCGGAACCCACGCCGAGAAAATAATGTTATATGAGTCCGCAATCTAACCAACTGAGCTATACAGGCTTGTTAAGTTTGACGGGTAAAATCGATACTAGTATGAAACCATCTTGTATTTCACTGTTCGTAATTATGTACCACCCAACCCTTTTGTGATGTTCGATAGGTTTATTACCACCTTTGTCTTAAACAATTCACTCAACGATTATTTTATAGGGATCCAAAAAACAAAGCCTTTTTGTTCTATGCTCGATATTGTTTCCACACTTTTTGTTCAAACGATTTATTCAAACATTTATAATATGAAGAAACTTAAAACTGGACACATGCTCCTTATAGTACCCTATACGAACGTCATTGATCAATAGGCCTCTAGTATATTCAATAAATTGTATTAAAATGTGGATGTTTATTTTGATTGCTATAATTGAAAATAGAGTTTTTTGATAAAATTTATAAAATAGTAGTAGTTTACTTAGTTTGTGTTTTTAATGCCTTTATGGCATATTCATAACAATTCATTACTTCCTAACAGAGTGCCCGTAAAATTTGAAATATATCGGTGTGACCAGTAGCCTTTGCTTAATGAACAAGTCTAAATAAAATTTCTCTCCAATTAATTCGCGAAATCGTGCGGACTTATTCGCGCAAACAAATATTCGCGCTTCGTGGCCATCCGCGAATAAAGCGAATATTAATTGGTCGCGAATATTCGTTGGGTTACAGTAAATAAATCACAAAAATGCGACAACAAAATACATGAAAAATAAACGCTTACAATAAATACTTGTTTAAAAGACAAGTATGACGAAGTGTTTTCGAGTTGCGAACATCTTTAATATCAAAACGTGTTGTTGAAAGTTAATCTCCGAAGTGCCATGTTTTAATTGAAGTACTAAATGACATATGTTTGTTTATATAGGAATAGGTGATATATTGCAACAAGTTGTCTATATGTTTGAACATTCAATGTGGTAAAATAACTTTTGCTTTTTGTTGATGCTCATCTTAAGTTTTCCCCATCAATTTGGGACGTGATATCTGTATTTTTATCGTTCTCAGTAATACGCCGTTTGCAATCGTAGATCTTTGCATTTGAAAGGAAATGAAATAGACTTTGAAAAGTACATATAAAAAATCTGGAAACAAAGTGATTCTTCGGAAGCATTGTAACAATAAAATTACTTGAAAATTGCAGACTCGGTTTGATTGAGTCTGTACATGAGGGATAATGGACAAGTACAAGACCCCTCACGCGCCAGCATCGGCTGAGAGGTACTCAATTCACAACACTTCATATTGCTGGCATCAATGATCCCAAAATGATAAAATTGCAAAGGATCACAATGAATCGTATCATAAAACTCACATTTATTAAAGTTTAAGTCAAATGCTTTCTTTTCACCGACTTTCACAATTATGTTTTTTAAACAGTTTGATTTTCACCAACATATTTACAGGGCTCGGAATTTGCTGCATTGATACATGTACAAGGTGACACTAGACAAGAAGATAGATAAATAAAAAAAAGATATTAAATAAATCACGAAAGAAATAAAGTTGACTTATTTGAAATACTTTTAATTTGCGTATCCGTTGAACGTCTGAGCGCGTCGGGTCATCTTTATCTCAGTCAGGCTAAATTCTCTAATATATCCCGTCAGAAACTTGTTTAACTAATACTATGATAATTCAAATAAATTTCTCGAAATTTGATTGGTTATAAAACTTTGCATACGTATATACCGTGAAGAACCACAAATAATATGTTTTCTACATCATAGGTAAAATTAATCACTACGTGTGTGTAAAAATTATTACTATCTTTTGTTCTTTATATACTTATAAAAATACTGTATTCCTAGAAATGTTCGCGGATACCATATTTTCTTTTAATAATTTGATTTTTTTGACAAGTCGCGCCTCAAGCGCAACGTTACTCGATACATTTTCATCTATTGACTAGTCGAACAAGGACGGTTGTTCCGTGAACACTTTCATATTTCCTTACCTTTTTTCATTATGTTATTAAGTAAGATTTAGTCAGACCCGTAAGCTTTTATTGTCATTTGAATCCTAACTGACTTTATCTTCAAAATGTCGATACGTATTAAGATTCGCGGAATCATGCCTACCGCGAAAACCGCTAACTTAAAATGCGCGAAATCTTTTCTAGTAATACAGTAATCAAAAGTTACACTGCAATGGTTTTTTTTTACACTGTACTAGAATTACTTTCTAATGCGCAGGTTTCGTGAATCCGTTGAACGCCTCATGGTATCTTATTGCCCGCACATCTATGAAATGCTGGGGTTTCGTTTGAATTAAATTTTGTCGTCCATAACAATATGAGTTTTTTTATTTTCTAGGGACTCGGGTAATATTTATCTCATTCAGGTTATATGCTCCCGTATATCACGTCAGCAACTTGCATATAGAAAATATACGCGTCACAGACGGATCGGTAAGTGATATTCGACTGTAAATAGTTAAAACATGATAAACAGTCTCAATAAGGAAAGGCGGCGTTCAATGAACGCAACCCCCACATGACCAAGCAACCCCCATTGGCGTAAAGCCCTTGTTCGAGATCAAAATAACTTTTCACAGAGCCAAAAAACATTTATATCGGCCTCAACATTATAAGTCTATTATATAAATATAAGTAATAGAAAAAGAATCGGAACCCAAAGCTATCCGAGATAAACGAGTGGGCGTAGTCCATTAGTATAAATCAGATTGCCGAGTGTTTTGATGATCTTTATGCTTTGTATCATCAAAAAATGTCATTGACGTAACAATATAAAGTAACCAATGTAGGAGCATTTAAATATGCCTTTCCTTTCGTTATCTCACAATAAGTATACAACGCACTCCATACATTTAATTTAGAAAATTGAAGATATAGAATACAAACGATAACTGGGAGTTACACGTACAATAAAAACAGTTAAGATGTCATAGTTTTATTGCCATAAGGATCATGATCTATTTTCTTCGTAGCATCATTCGCGAAGTGTTTAACTTGCTTTTAACTGCATTGTAGTACCACTCAGCTTCGTTGTACCCCTTGTTGAAGTTTAACATAATACAATTATAACCAAAGCCCCACCATCCGCCACAGGCTCCATTCATTGCCGGATCATAGACCCCAAATTCAGTTGCATCCAAGGATCCGAAAACCATTCCAGTGTTCGCCAAACCTTTAAAATATCAAATATATCTCACATGAATATTTATGAAATTTCATTTTTAATCACAGTACCTTTAACCTAAATGTTGAAAAATAAGTTAATTATAAATGCAATTATTTAATGTTATAAAATTTAAAAGGACTCCACTGAGGTTTTTTGACATGACGGGACTCAAAATATTTTTTCCAGATAAATGTATCATTTGATGTAGGTTTAGACCACTAACCTTTGTGCAAAATTTCAGATTATTCGTGCACTTCGTTATTCCAGTTGCAAAAAAATGACCCAAAATGAAAAGCGTTTAAAAATTCCCCACTTAAATCGGGCTAGGAAAAACATAATATGTAATACGATTTTCAATTTATTTCAAAGAATATTTCTTAACTATCTTTACATACATTTCTGTTTAAAGTGCCCAGGCTCATTTATGTAAGAAATTCAAATGCTATGTTTTTAGGCTTTTAAACCTCAGTGGAGTCCCTTTAAAACAAATATGTGATATCAACCTGATTTCTCTACGGGTTGCACATCTATGGATAGTCTGTACGTTTTACCAACGAGTTCAAAACGATCATACTTTTCATGCGCTGTCTCTCCGCTCGTAACTGATATACTATACCAAAATTCTGTCGGTGATTCTGTCAGTTCTTGAATATACCGTAGACCTACAAAAGAATACTAAACTTAGTCAATATACTCATTGCATGTAATCAAGCTAGTAATAAAAATATACAAGAAGAAGAAGAAGAAGAAGAAGAAGAAGAAGAAGAAGAAGAAGCAAACAAAACAAGAATTCTATGACTACCGGAAATTTCCCTTATACATTGCATAGACAAAGGTCTGAAGCGTGATATATTTCACAGTAGATACACTCGCCGTTCGTATTTCCTCCCTCCGTATTTGCAAACCGACACACTGAGGCGCAATTTTGTTTGAAAAGTCTGATAAAACAAAAACAACTTTTTGTTAAAATTTGCTCTGAAAACTATCTAGAATAATAGAAAATGGTCTAAGAAAGAATCCGACCACCAATATCTTCCAATTCTATCATAAACGGTGTACAGACGTTTAAAGTGTTGTGTACGTGACGTCACACAAACAACTCGTGCAAAAACCGTAAAGAAGCACACTATGTTAATGTTGTAAAAATGTTACATATCACTTTTATTTCACTATTATAATAAATACTCTGTATTTCCCTTGAATAATAATAATAATAATAATAATAATAATAATAATAATAATAATAATAAAAATTTAATTAATAAACACAAAAAACATTTTCAAAATTTTGGTATTCTCTAAATGGTTGTGCAAACGATATACATTATTTTTTCAACCAACAGGAAAACCCTTTAAAGAATGTTGCTAGATGAAACTCCGAGGCTAAGACAAAATTTAACCACCAAAATACATATTCAAACAAGTTTTTTTCTGCTTGACGAGTTAGAATGGAAATAGATCTTGATTTTGAGTGATCATTAGTCACTATGACATACGGGCCTTCGATATTATATCACATCTGAATTCCATACCGTGCTATATTATAACACAAATAACCCAAAAATCAAGATATATTTTCTAAAACAATTTCGTTACCAAGCCAGTATTCGCCATTAACGTCCCCAAATCCGTCTTCGTACAATTTTAACTTTGTTTTGGCAAAGTCAACCGAGCCATCAAACCGGTTTTGGAAAACCTGAAATTATACAAAGTACAACAATATCATGTAAAACTCACTTGAAACCCGCGTAAAAAATCGTTCAACTGAGTTACCTTGCTAGAATTTTTATTTTACAAAGTTTTGCGTAGGTTCAACACGAAATTTATTGAACTCATTGATCAAAATAACATAATGCTCGACACAGTCTCCACATTTATGATTTATTCAACTCGTCAATAACTTTAGTATCATTTTCTTAGTACACACCGTTCCGTTATTATGTGTATTATATTTAAAAGAAGTAAATATGATCATACCGTCCAGCCACCGCCATCTGTTTTCATGTCACAATAAACTTGTTTCTTTTCTGAGTTTGTCTTTTCTGAGTTACGAAGTCTTATTTCATAAAAACCACTTATGGCAGACCTGTCCAATTCCAATATTTCTTTACAGTCTATCTGAAAATCTGGAAATATATTGTGAAATTCAACTGATTTTTGGAAATGTTTATTTTAAAGATAATTATACCATCATCTTATGATATATAATGTAAATCGAGAAAATGTCAAGGTTTAAAGCGGCCTTTGGCCTTTATTTCTTGTTGGAAAAACAATTCTGTATTATTTCAACTAAGTATGACATTAATTTTATCTCCGAAAAGTGCATCATATCTCTGTTAAGCCTTCTTCAAAATAGCGCCCCGAGAGCTATTTATAACACGCCAGTGACGTTTGTTTCTAACAAGATATGTTTGTAAAACATGTATGCCCCCTATCGGCAGCCAATTAGTCATGTGGTCAGGTTATTATGACCAAAAAATCTATCTACTGGTCATGATTTGTCACTATATAATTGTCACCGTAAAGGTTGTGAGCAGCAATTTTATGACAAAGTTATCACAAATCTTTCGAAAAAATATATGCAAAACTTTTATAAATCATGCAGGCTTCCTTAATGACAGCCAATATCTTTCATTACATTAGGCCTTGAAATGTGTATACCAAAAACATTTTTAGTTGAATAAACTTGAGTTGTTGAGTTATTGGTTGGAAACTGTGTTTACATACAAGGTCAATATGACTTTGACCTCTGACCCTTAAATCAACAGGGATTATCTACTGGTCAAGACTATGTCACCTGAGAGGTTTGAAGGTAAAGGGCCAATGAGTTGTTGAGATATTGATTAGAAAGCGTTTTTACCTATAAGGTGGATGCGATCTTGACCTCAGACCTCTTGATCCCAAGAAATCATTGAGATCAATCTTTGACCAAAAACAATGCATCTGTGAAGTTTTAAGGTCAAGGGTTCATGGATTGTGCAGTAATTGACACTATTGTGACATTATTGTGATCAATGTGACCTTGACCTTTGACCCCTTGACCCGAAAGTCAATAGCTGTCATCTACTGGCCAAGTCCAATGCATCTGCAAAGTTTTAGGGCCAACAGCCGACAAGTTTTCAAGTTATTGATAGGAAACCATTTTTACCAACAAGTTCAATGTAACCCTGACCTTTGACCTCAAAATCCATAGGGGTCACTTACTGGTCATGAGCAATCGCCATACAAAGTTTGAAGTTTCTAGGCCTAAACGTTCTTTAGTTATTGATCGGAAACTGGTTTTCCTACAATGTCAATACGCCTTTGACCTTTAACCCCTTGACCCAAAATCAACTATGGCTATCAAACTGATCATAAAAATTCAACCTACCAAGTTTGAAGATCGTAGACCTACGCGTTCTTTAGTTATTGATCGAAAAACCTTTTTTCCAACAAGGTCAATGTGTCCTTGACCTTTAAGCACTTGGCCCCAAAATCAATTAGGGTTATCTACTGGCCATAAGCAATCACCATACCAAGTTTGAAGTTTACTAGGCCTAGGCGTTATTAATTTATTGATCGGAAACCGTTTTTACTTACAAGATCAATATGACCTTGACCTTTGACCCCAATATCAACGAGGGTCATCTACTGGTCATGAACAATCATCGTACCAAGTTTGAGGTTCATAGGCCTAAGTGTTCTTTAGTTATTGATCGAAAACTATTTGGTCTACTGACCGACGGAGACAAATGCAAAGTAATATACCCCCACTTCTTTGAAGGGGGACATAAAAATAGAAGATCGGGAAACAAATTGTCCACTTAGAGAGTAAACTGGTAGATTTGAGGTACAAAGGGTTTTCTTTTTATCGACGGCAAATATCTTTTTCCACCATAATTCTTTTGATTTGACAACTACATGAAACGATTTATTTAAAAATTACATAGACATTCACATAACCTTTATAAAAGGTGAAAGCCGCTCTGTATTACATAATGAGGGTTCCGATAGTGATTTTACTATATGGAACATAATAAATCAACACGGTTAGCTTTTAAACAAGAGCTGTCGGTAGGACAGCAACGGTCGTCTATTTTTAGTGCTTGATAGTAAAAGAGCCTTGATAATGTAAAATTTTATAAGTCAACAAAAGGGCAATTTTTTTAAATCCATGTTACAGTTATAGGCCTTGGAGAGAGTCCTATTATGCTCTCAAAAAAACGAGCATAAAATTTCAACTTGTTTCAAAGCCAGATTTCGATAGAATATGAAAATATCTGAGGTTGTATGCAAAATTAAATGTAGAAGTTGAAAACGGGGAATTATTCCGCCAAATGTTTCATAAAGTTACCTCCTCCTGTCTACAGGTTGGGGTCATGATGTTGAATAATTGTGCAAAAGTTTCAAAGCCATATGTCAATGGACTTTGAAAATATTTGAGGTATTACAAAAACTTAAAAATAAATTCTAAGTCGAAAAAAGGGGAATAATTCTGTCAGCTTGATACAATTACCTCCTCCTGTCTACAGGTTGGAGTTTATGATGTTGAACAATGTGCAACTTTCAAAGCCATATGTCAATAAACTTTGAAACTATTTGAGGTATTACAAAAACTTTAACGTAAATTATAAGTAAATAAGGGGCATAATTCTGTCAAAATGCTTGATACAATTACCTCCTCCTGTCTACAGGTTGGGGTCATGATAGTGAAGAAGTGTGCAAAGTTTCAAAGCCATATGTCGATGGACTTTGAACATATTTAAGGTATTACAAAAATGTTAACATAAATGGTTACGCCGACACCGAAGTCGACACCGACGCCGACGCTTGGGTGACTACAACTCTATTTATTTTTATCGAATAGTCGAGCTAAAAAGCTAGTAACGGCTCCTTTACCATTTCTATTTCATTTGGTGTGTTTAAATGTCAAACTGGAAGCTCTCTAAGTTTTACAACAACCTGGAAAATTAATGAAATTAACAAAGACGAGGGATATATCATTCATTATAAGGGTGCAATTGCCCTAAAATGGTCATCTCGTGACTAGTTATATCAAGATGTATCCACATAGAACAAATCAAGTTCCTATGTATACGTACTTTGGTTTATACACAATTTATTTTAGTTCGATTGTGAAGGAATCTATTAGCTATTAGCTTATAGACACACTTTCGAATCCGTTTCTGGAACCAACCACCACTGAGCAATGAGTGTAAAGTTTTTTGCTCAAGGAAACAACAACTTGCCCCGCACTTTTCCTATATGGCCCGTTGAATGTTTGAGGTATCAAGTCCCAGTGACTTGAAATTGTATATGGTAGGTAAAACTCATCAAGGTGTCTGCAAGTATGAATTTAATTGTTACAGGTTAACAAGTATTGGACTGTGCGACAAGTCCTATACAAGTCTATATAAATGAAATATCCCCGTGGGTAGGTTCCCTATAAAGTTCATCATATTAACATCCATATGCATGGTTTGTTTGCATAAAATACATATGCGAAGCGGCATTATCCTCCAAAATAGTGTAATTAGTATTAGTATTAGTACTTGTTTACAACTATTGCATGGAAGCACTGTAGTATGATTGAGATAAAATCCTCTTTGAAGTCTTTTTGCAAAGAAGATTGGTTGGCAACGCTTATATAACAAGATCATTTTAATGTATCAACCATTTCATTCATTGAATTAAGATTTTTAAGGTAAAATTAGGGACATTTACTCATAATGTAAGTCTATGGGAAAATCAATGCGAGCGTCTGACCTTCTTCACGCAAAATCTGCGGGATTCTCCACATCGCAGTATGAATTCACACAATACCGGAAAGAATAAAATGACCCGAAATTTAATAAATAAACTGCGCATGCTCACAATCAGATGAACACGTAAATTTGATTGATGAAGAAAAACAATGAAAACTGACATTTTTAACTATAATAAGTTGTGGCAACAAGATGATATCTTGAGACCACAATATAATAACAATAAGTCTTCGCCACGAGATAATTTCTTAAGGCCACACGAAAATAAGTAGTGGCAACGAGATAAATAATACTGTAAATGTCACCTTTACGCCACCGTTTTTTATTTTTTAGATAGAAATATATGTAATAGCTTTATAGATTTATTATTGCAATTAAGAAATTACCTTTTTGGCATATTTCCGTAATGGTATGATGGTTCGGTACGGAACAATTTGATTCGTAATGGATACGATACACGGAACAATTTGCTTCTGAATGGATAAGGTACACGAAACAATTTGCTTTTTAATGAAAAAGGTACGCGGAACAATCTGCTTTGAAATGGATATGGTATACATGGTATACAGAACAATTTGCTTTGTAATGGATAAGGTACACGGAACAATCTGCTTTTAATGGATACAGTACACAAAAACAATCTGCTTTTTATTGAATACAGTACACGGAACAATCTGCCTTGTAATGGATAAGGTACACGGAGCAATCTACTTTTAATGGAAAAGGAAAAGGTACACGAAACAATCTGCTTTTAATAGATACTGTACACTGAACATTCTGCTTTTTATTGGATACAGTACATGGAACAATCTGCTTTATAATGTATAATGTTCACGGAACAATCTGCTTTTTAATGGATACGGTACACGAAACAATCTGCTTTATAATGGATACGGTACACGGAACAATCTGCTTTGTAATGGATAAGATACACGAAACAATCTGCTTTTATTGGATACAGTACACCAAACAATCTGCTTTGTAATGGATACGGTGAACGGAACAATCTGCTTTTTATTATGTACAGTACACGGAACAATCTGCTTTGTAAAGGATACAGTATACATAGCAATCTGCTTTGTAATGGATAAGGTACACGGAACAATCTTTAAAGAAAGCAAATTTACTGTGACGATGTTCTTTTTCATCATAGATTACCACATAATAGAAAAGATTCAGTAAATCCGGTTTCAAATATGTTTCTATTATTATCAGTTTCGAGAATATTGTTCAAGCATCATCTTGCTCTATTTTGAAGGATATCTTTTATGTAATTTGAGAACAGACTCTGTATTTATCTATTGCTAGAAATCGCTTGTTTTTATTATCTTCGATTGTATATCGTATCCCTCGGTCGCACCATGAAAAATAACTGTACCAAAATGTCCTTAGAAATTAGTTTTGGATTTTAATAATGTTAATACTCCGTGGATAGCTGGTACAAAAACGGATAGTCTGTGCCTGAACTTGTCAAAATCTGTTTGGTAAAATCAAAAATATTGATAAAAATTGTATGAATTGGGTATCAGTGCGCGTGTTCCGCATCTTAAACGTCACATGGCATAGCCACCTCGAAAGTCAATATCTTTAAGGGTAAAATTATTATTGATTGACTTTATAATTGTGTAATTGCTATGTTCCATATTTCCCCCCTAGCACCTGCGTCTGCAGTATTCAATTTATAACCTTGCATGTATGTGTATTAATCAATGATCCGGAAACTCCAGAAAACTCAAACAACATGCCTTTCCCATATCACTTGGCACCTGCTGTTGTCAACATTAAAATCTAGAAAAGGAAAAATCCCTCGGAAGAAATGAAAACATAACAATAAGCAGACTTGGTTTGATTGGGTCTATTCACGACAGAACACGCAAAAGTGCAACATCCTACATGCTACTAGCACAGGCTTAATCTGTTTTCAACACTTAATGACTGGGAGTCAATTGTCCTGAAGACCCAGAACAATATATGAAAACACTGAAATGAAGTACCGGGCAACTTTTTTTGCAGCTAGCACATGACACTTGAATTTATATACCACTTACCTCTGTTTGAATATTGCATTGATCCGTCCGAAGTCAGAATTGGTGCACCTTTTATAAAAACTCTGCATCCAATGCATTGATGATTTTCCGGTTTGAAGAAAGACGAAGGACACTTATCATGCAGATAACACATTGTGCTGCATGAGACTCGGTCAGGAACGTCGTCTGCTATAACCGTAACATCCTCTAGCGGACATGTTGCTTCCACGGAGTTTCCTTCAAATCGATATTTTGTCCAGGAAATGGCATCAACCGTAATTATGTTGAATGCATTAATGAAAATCATAAAACATAATAGAACACCGTTGGCATCAACGTCTTTTCTTTTGCACATTTTATATCAGATGTTCCTTAATTTTGCAGATCTACTAACAAACGTCTTACCAGACAAAGGACGAACAAGAATGTGGTGTTGGCAAGCAAATAGAGATAAGGTTCATGGAATATTTAGTGAACAGCATGTGAATTGCAAGAAAACAAGGAGATCAAAGATGCGTGTGCTTTCAAAACAAACCACTTATGTTTCATGCTGTTTAAACTAGTCACATGCTCGTGGTAAACTAAGTTTTTAATAATTCAGCGGAATGTTTGTCAAATCGATTTGCTTCAAAAAAGAATTGTTAAAAAGGAGTGTTAGGACAACATGTTTAAGATACTAAAATATAAAACTGTAGTTATCATCATCATTATCAACATCATCATTATTGAAATCATTATCACCTCTCTTTCATGGTCGTTTCGTTGACATTATCACCATCATCATCATCTTCTTCATCATCATCATCTTCATCATCATCATCATCATCATCTTCATCATAGTCGTCGTTTTTTTCATCATCATCATTATTATCGGTGTCAAAATCAGCATCACAACCACAATTATCATCATCATCATAATCATAATTATTATTACCATCTTCATCATCATCAACATTCTCATAATCTACAACAACAACAACCCAAAACAATGAAAACGGCATCATCAGCTGCATTATCTTCATCATCAACATCATCATTGTTATTATGCATTTGCATTATACTGGGGACTTGCTCATAGAGTGATCTGTCAAGATTCGTACGAAAATATAAAACACAATATATTACGAAAGACCGGTGATGACATTTCACGTTCACGAATTCATGATATTAACAAGATTTTAATATTTCATTATTTTTAGAGTGAAATATTGAATTTTTGAATCGTGAATTCATAAATTAGCGATTTCAAAATTTCACGATTTCTCTTAAAAAACTTGAATAAATGAAATCGTGAAATAATGAAATCGTGAATTCATGAATTCACGAGTTCACGATTTCATTTTATAAAGTGAAATCGTGAATTCATGAATTTGCGATTTCATTCTTTCACGTTTTTACTTTAAAAAATGAAATCGTGAATTCACAAATTCACTGTTTCATTATTTCATTTATTCAGGTTTTTAAGAGAATCGTGAAATTATAAAATCGCGAATTCATGAATTCGCAATTTCATTACTTCACGATTTCACTTTAAAAAATGAAATCGTGAATTCGTGAATTCACGAATTCACTATTTCATTCTTTCATTTATTCAGGTTTTTTTTAAAGAGAAATCGTAGAATTATGAAGTCGCGAATTCATGAATTTGCGATTTCATCATTTCATGATTTCACTTTAAAAATTCATGATTTCACGATTTCATTATTTCATTCATTCAGTTTTTAAAAAAAAGAAATCAAAGAAAAATTCATTAATTCACTCTTAAAGTACTGAAATATTAAAATCTTGAAATCACGAATTCGTAAACGTGAAATGTCACCACAGGTCTTTCGTAATATATACATGTTATTATTTGCGTCATTCTAAGAAAATTACAAGGCCTTTGGTACCTAAGAGAATTCAGTTTAACAAATATAATTTCAGAAAATAAAAAAATAACAAACTTCCAAAGTACAGAAATGACTTAAGCGTTCCATACTATCATTCATTATTCACGCTCCATACACTGTATACAAACAGTATTGATTAAACTGTCGGATATTGAAACGGCTTTTAAACTATTACGACAACTATTCACCCTTTACCTCATATATACGCAGAACAACGCACTTTCGACCCCCCTCTTTTTAGGCCTGAAATAGTGGACATTTTTTTAGGCCCCAAACACATGTTTTCGCTTGAGAAATGTTGCCAAAAAAAGTGAGCACTTTTTCGGCGCCGCCCCCAACCATAAGATACATCAGGGGGTTGCCAGAAGGGGGATGTGCCCCCTTCTGTTTGGGGGGTTTAAAGGGGGGGGGGGGAGTCCCCCTCATCGCCAAGAAAATTGTGGAGAGGCTTAAAATGACCCCAGGTCGATCATAAGGTAACGTGTAACCAACGCCGAAAAGCCTTTGACTCTATCTCAATCTCTTGAGAAGTTGCAGCACTTTGAAATAAATTTTGATGGAAAAAATCGAGGCAAAATAGTGATTTTTGGCAATTTTGAGATGTCCCCTCGTTGCCATGGTAATAGGAAATTTAAGACTGAGCATGTCGTTATAAGGCAATGGTCCAGTCAACATTTGTGCCAAGTTTGATTAGTATTGAAGCATTTTTCATAGTTTCATAGCAGTTTGAACTTGTAAGAGGAGGCTTTTCAGTGAAAATGGCCATTTTTCACAATATGCTCATGGGGGGAAGGGTTAAGCCTTTCTCAAGATTGTTAAAGACCCAATCTTCCACTAAAAAATAAATAAATAAATGAATAAATAAAAAAATCAAAGCTAAAAAATCACTATATAACATCCTGTCTAAAATAATTTTACACCATTCTCCCTAAATCCATACTTTCCAACTATACAAAGTACCATGATATCTTTTCACTGTCACTTTATCAATTCAAATTACCTTTAATATAGCCGGAAATCTAAACATATACCTTGCAGAGCCGAATACACCGTATCATCTTGGGCATTTCCAGAAAGACTAAAATTCCTTTAACCTTTGATAAAGTAATGCACAATTATTTCCCTGTATATAGTCTGCCCAGTACACTTTTTCCCAATAAGATAAACCTCGTACATTCAGTTTAAGAATCAAAACATCTCGGCCATTTTTGATAACAATCTCGGCATTAATGCGCATTGAAAGTAGTTCTACCCAGTGGTTCTAGATGAAACAAAAACAGAGGATGTCACCATTGATAATGAATGTATATATTTGGTATAAGTCTATTTCGGTAGAAATATGACTGCAATTTTGTCTGACATTCACGATAGTCAATTTAAAAATGCTTAAATATAACCAAGTTGAACAAAAATTAATGTCGACAGGTAGATATTTTATATTTTCGGTTTCTACAACAATAAAAAAACATTGTTTACTTTAATTCTGGTACAAGACTTTTGCTAATACACTTAATTTAGGTGGACTTTATCTAGATAAAATGGTATATAGTCATCAACTCCTAGCATTTGTTTATATGTTTCGTTACACCGAAATACCGTATCGGTTCTGTGTATTTTTTTGTCCGAAGTTTGACGGAAATGTCTGGAACGATGCGATTGTCAGTTTAAGTGCATTGTTGATAATATGTGGTATAACAATTGATTTATTTCATAGTTTATGGATTTGTACAGAATTAGTGGTCTGAAGCCAAATTCCGACTTGAACTGCATTCTTTGATGTTTCATCAAATATTATTCATTGTTTGTTTAAAGGTTTTATCTGGAAACCTTTTATTTTTTTGTAAAAGCAAAGAAATAGTGGTCTGAACATGACCAAAAGCAATCCCAAACGAGATCCTCTCTTGATATATACCAAAAAATAGATAAAAACAGAATCCCTAAAGAAAGCCCAACACGGCAAAATAGAAAATGTTGCAGGCTCGGTTTGATTGAGCCTGTTCATGGACGGTACTGGAAAGTGCAAGTTACCGTCCACGCCCCTAGCACCGGCTTAAGCAGAATTCAACATTTCAACATGAAATGGTAAAATTTTGAATTTAGAAACATCCACAGATGTGTTCATACGGCGGTTATCATGGAACCTTCAATGTGACACTTCCGTGCCATTCCATGAAAAGCGGCGTATGGTCCCCAAGTAATAAAAAGCGTGTGCCCTAAACGAGAAAACAATGGGCGGAACTAAATAAAATGGAATTTTGAAAGGGGATCAGAGGTTATGAAGCCTGCGTATCACAGATAAGACGTCAAAAGACAAATTTAAAAAGCAGGCAACATATCCTAAGGGTGATTCAACATTATTCAAGTAGGAATATTGGAACCACCAAACTAGAAAATGCCGAAGAATTGAAACCAAAAATACCACAAGCATAACAATAATGTCGTGCTGAACGATCTTCAAGGATCGAAAATATAACATCAGTTATAGGGTTAGGGTTGGTTTGTGCTGTCATTATCTCATCCATATGTCTTGTAAGCGTCCGAAAACAATGTTTCTATTAATAGTAACAATAACCTTGACCTCGACCCTAGCTTGCTATATTCCTAGGTTGATTACAACTTCTCATTGCTAGCTGTAATTATCGCCCGGATACCATTTTTTATATAGTTAGTAACAATGATCTGGACCTTGATCCTATGGGTCCAAGAACGAACGAAGTCTTTATATAAGCCTACTATATACTAAGGTTGATTCGAACTTGTTATTCTTAACACTAGTTATCGTCTGGTCATTATTATTAGTGACAATGACCTTGACCAAGGGGATCGAAAAGCCCCAAGCGAGGTCTCTACACAAACGTGTTATTTACCAAGTCTGATGATAATGTCTCCTGCATAGCTTTAGATATTGTTCGGCAACAGTTTTTTTTCTATTCTAAGTAAATTTGACTTTGATCTTAACCACTAAGAAGTCATTGCAATGAAAAGCTATGTCTCTTCATGGACATGATATATGACAAGTTGATTGCAATATGTCATTCCTAACTCAAGTTACCGTCTGGAAACCAGTTTCCTATTTTAAGTTACATAGACATTGACCTTGACCCAAAGAGTCCAAAGCAATCCCAAGCAAGGTTGTCAACTAATCCTGTTACATTCCAAGTTTGTTTACAATATCTTATTGGTTACTCTTGTTATCATCGGGAAATCATTTTCTACATTTAGCTCGACTATTCTATGTTGCCATTGCCATGTGGACGTTGATGCTGCCGTTGCTGTCTGAAAATATTAACGTTGGTCATACGATTTTTAAAAAAAATAATTCTCAATGGATTTCATTCATACTTGGATACAACCCCCTTTGGACAAGACCTTAAGGTTGGCCAGAATCAATTAACCTTAACTCTTAAATGTCCTTGACCCTCACAGGTCAAATGTTTGATTTTTTCTTCACTGTAAATATAATTGGCCATAACTTTGCTATTTATGAATGGATTGTCTTCAAACATGGACACAACAATACTTTGGACAAGTCTTTTAAGTATACACAATTAATTATGATTATGACCCACACTCAATAATAACATTGACCATCAGGTCAAAATAATGAATTTTGCTAAGTTTTTGCTTGACTTTGACCGTCAAGGTCAGATGATTGAATTTTGCTTAATTTGTCAAAACTTTGTTATTTACTTACAGATTTGATTCATAAGTGCATCAAAGAACACATTTGACGTTACCGACATGGTAAATTATTTTAATTTGACCTTGACCTTTAAGTACCTTGACTGTCCAGGCCAAATAATGGAAATTTGCTTATTTTCATAACTTATTCATTACAGATTGGCTATATTCTTTGACAAAGAGCACTAACGACAAAACCAATGTTCATTGACCCTTCATTGACATTGATCGTCAAGATCAAATTATTGAAATTTGCTTAAATTGTTATAAATTTGTTATTCATTTTTATAGACTTGATTTCTTCTGATATATGAGAAATTTTGACAAAAACTGCTTTTTTAAATACATTTCCTGTATTTTTCTAAAAAATATCTTTATATATTTTATCTTTGATAGAGACATTAAGAATTATTGTGAATATACAATACAGGTAACCAATGAACGAGATTCTGCATATGACTTTACTA